GCGGGGGTGGGGTCAGTGTCTCACACCCTTCAGGTGATGCGTGGCTGCGACACGGGGCCGGATGGACACCTCCTCCGGGGGTACCTGCGGTGGGGCTACGACGGCGCCAATTTTCTCACCCTGAATGAGGACCTGAGCTCCTGGACCGCCGCAGACGAGACAGCTGAGATCACGAAACGCTTCTGGGAAAAGGTTCGACTGGCAGAGATTGAGAAGGAGTACTTTGAGGGCACGTGTGTAAAGGATCTCCGCCGTTACCTGGAGAAGAGGAAGGAGATGTTGCAGAGCGCAGGTACGGGGGACCCGCTGGGCGTCTCCCCGAACTCCTTTCTAGCTGTGTCCATGCTACAGGCTTCTCAAAATAAGGAGGAAAATGGGATGTGTGAATACCCTCTCACATGGGTGAGAAGTGAGAAGTTGGCCCAGGTGTCTAGATCTGGTACCAGGGCAGCCTGCCCAGAGGAGCTCCCTTTCCCTTGGTTGTTGTTAGGTACCTACCTGAAATGGCCCCTATGCACAACAGATGGAAACACTGCTGGGTCCTGCCGCGGTCCGCACAAATGCCCTATTCCTGAGCCCATTGATTCAGCTACTGTGTCTATCGATCTCATCAAAGGCCTTCCTCTTTTTGCCACCCCTCCACTATAGTAAACATGGCATCCTTCTCTATCTCTCCTGACAGTATACCCAAAGTATGTAACATGAAATTCAAGCCATCCTTGCTTCTAAGGAGCACAATCTTGCTTCTTCTGATACAGACCTGCTTGCCCTTTTAACAGTTCTTGGTGCTTTTAATATTCTTCTCCAGCAACACAATTCAACCGCATCGATTCTTCTACAGTCTGCCTTATTCAGTGTCCAACTTTCACATGCATATAATGCCATGGAGAATACCATGGCTTGGGTCAGGCACACCTTAGTCTTCAAAGTGATATCCTTGCTTTTCAATACTCTAAAGAATTCTTGTGCAGCAGATTTACCTAATGCAAGATGTCTTTTGATCTCTTGACTGCTGCTTTCATGAGTAACCCTTAAAAATAGTTAAGGGAGGCATCAAAGAACAAAAAATCATATTGTGTGCTCACCTTCAGACACATGGGTGCATAAGCAAAAGTGGTGAAGAAAGCTGATGGTGTTTGGCTATCAAAGGATATAGCGTGTGGGGTTTTAAAGGCTTGAAGGTAAACAAGCGACCATCTAGCAGCGAAGCAACAAAGCCCACATGGAAGAAGCAAGCCAGCCTGTGTGATCACGAGGTGTCGAAGGATCAGGTATCAGGCATCAGAGAACAAAAAACTCAAATCATTGTGAATGAGGGGGAGTACAGATTGGGGACCCTAAGCCCATCTGTAGGCAACTGGACATCCCCTTACAGAAGGGTCTCCAAGAGGAGATGAGCCAGTTCAGGGTGCAGTATAGCAATGATGAAACATACAATTTTCCTCTAGTTCCTAAATGCTTCCAACTCCCCCACACCCCTCACAATCATGATCCCAATTCTACCTTACAAATCCGGCTAGACCAGAGGATGTACACTGGTACTGATAGGAACTGGAAACCCAGGGAATCCCGTACAGATGATCCCTTCAGGACCAGTGGTGAGAGTGGTGATACCGGGAGGGTAGAGGGAGGGTGAGGTAGAAAGGGAGAACTGATTACAAGGATCTACATATAACCTCCTCCCTGGGGGATGGACAATAGAAAAGTGGATGAAGGGAGGTGTCGGACAGTGTAAGATATGACAAAATAATAATAATTTATAAATTATCAAGGGTTCATGAGGGAGTGGGGAGCGGGAAAGGAGGGACAAAAATGAGGAAGTGATACAAAGGGCTCAAGTAGAAAGCAAATGTTTTGAGAAGGATGATGGCAACAAATGTACAAATGTGCTTGACACAATGGTTGTATGTATGGATTGTGATAAGAGTTGTATGAGGCCCCAATAAAATGATAAATTAAAAAATAGTTAAAGGAAACACTCTTTCTGAGAGAGAAGGGGAGATGATTCCCAACTTATCAGCAGTTCTCTTTGATCCTGGTATTGACCTTGGGACCCACAAAGGACTTTCTTTGTAGAGCTTTGTTCTCTGTCTCACCTCCAATGCGTTCAGAGGTCTGATTCCAGCTTTTCCGAGTTTCTCTGTCTCTGGCCAAGTCAGAACTAGAAATCCCTATTATTCTTCGCAGGCATCTGGAATCTCCTACCCTGAGCTGCGTCACCCTCATTTTAGGACTTTCCAGGGAATAGGAAGGAGATTGTCCCAGATCGCTAGTCCAGGCTGGTTCTGGGTTTTGCCTTCCCTCTCTCAAGCCCCAATTATCTTGTCCATGCTCAGGATGATCCCATAAAAAGTTCTTGAATTTTTTCACTCATTGCCTCAGATCCCCCAAAGGCACATATAACCCACCACCCCATCTCTGATGAAGACGCGGTCACACTGAGGTGTTGGGCCCGGGGCTTCTACCCTGCGGAGATCACCCTGACCTGGCAGCGAGACGGGGAGCACCAGGCCACGGAGCTGGTAGAGACCAGGCCTGCGGGGGACGGAACCTTTCAGAAGTGGGCGGCTGTGGTGGTGCCCTCTGGAGAGGAGCAGAGATACACGTGCCAAGTGCAGCACGAGGGGCTGCCTGAGCCCCTCACCCTGAGATGGGGTAAGAAGCGGGTGAGGGCTGAGCCACTGCTCAGGAAAACGGGTTCTTCTGTGTGCCGGTGTCTGTGTTCCTCACCTTTCTTCTCTTCCCAGAGTCCTCTGCTCAGTCTGCCAGCCCCGTCATGGGAGTCATTGTGGGCCTCGTTTTCCTTGTGCTTGTCAGAGCTGTGGTCACCGGTGGTGTGGTCGGGAGGAGGAAGCTCTCAGGTAAGCTAAGGGGTGGGTTTCAAGGCCCAGATGGGTGTTTGCCTGCCTTCTGTCTTGTTACTGTGAGGCGCCACCAGGAAACCCTTGCTTACCCTGACTTGGGGAGGCGTATGCTAACATCTGCTCTTTTTGTAAAGCACGTGTGAATGTGAAGGACAGATTTCTCACCTTGAGGATTCTGCTGATGGGGACCTGATTCCCACAGCCCTGCTGGGGACAGAGCTCTAGGAGGGCGACTGGTTCCAATCCCTGTACATCTGCTTTATTCTCGTTTCTTGATCCTGCCTGGTTCTGCCATCGCAGTCCAGGCTCTGGGACTAATTCTAGAACTTTATTGTCCTACCTGCTCCCTGGTCCCTCACAGGATGTTTCCTTCCCACAGGTGGAAAAGAAGGGACTTAGGCTCAGGCTATAGGTAAGTAAAGCAGAGGGTGATCCCGAAGACCTTTGGGCTAGTATAGACAGGTACATATGGGGAGAGCTCCCCGCCTTCAGAGGGCTCTGACCAGACCCTGCTTTGGTCTTCTCCAGGCAAGGACAGTGCCTCGGGCGGTAATGTCTCTCTCACTGCTTCTAAAGGAGACCCTAGGGATCCTGTCATGGGGAGGGCTGGGGCATGGGGCCATGACTGGGTTAAGGGGACAGTTTGCATGTACAATCTGGAACATGTGGCCGGCTGTTGAACGTGTCAACACTCACCAGCAGCTGACCCCAATTTTTTGTGGTTACCCTCTTCGTCTTTTTATTTTTTTTAATCACCCCCTTCTATAGTGTGAGACAGCAGACACAGAAGTTGTCCATCCTTCAAGAACCCCTGTCTTTCTGCATCCGGCATCTGAATATGTTTGCATCCCTTCCGCATCATGTGAAGACACTGAGAGACTAGCCCAAGACCGCTCTGCACTCTGACCTGTGTCCTTTCCCTCGTCGGCATTCCTGTTCCAGCAGAATGGGGGGGCTGGGAAACGAAGAGGAAAATCTGGAAATCGAAGCAAGACAAAACAAGAAAGCCTGGAGAACCTTTTCAGGACCCTTTGTTGTGTTGCGTTAGCTGAGCACGAGCGGGCCTGTGCCTGCTGGGCCTCAGGCTTTGACAGTTACTCCTTAGCTGGGTCATCGTCAAGGCTCTGTTCTCCTGGTCCCTCCAGAACCTTTGATCTCTGGGCTCGCCAGACCATGCATAACCCGGGCCTTATCCTGTCTTCAGGACCCGGGATAGTGAAGCCTTCCGAGGCCAGTCAGCCCTGGCCACCATTATTGTGGCCATTTTTGTGTATTGGTTTTTATAGAGAAGTTTATCTGTTCTTATTTTCATTCCCCTCTGGGTGCCCTTGATCTGACAGCAGCCATTACTGTTTTCCTGTCCCTGCCCAACAAGGGGCCCCTCTCACAGATTGCCACACAAGCCCAGCTCTTGCCCTCCTTTTAGGACCATTCTGGATAATTCTTTATTTCCCCTCAACATTATAGACAAAACCAAACAACAAACTCCCCCCCCACCTCTCTCTCTTAGTTTGCTCCCCTATGGTCAGGACAGACTGGCCACTCTTCCCCAGCCTATATCTTCAGTCTTGTCCTCTAGTACATTCTTCTAGGGAGGGGTCAATATAGCTCAGATTGGGGCCGGCCCACCGTCCTCTCTGTTAATGCGCTGCTCCATGCCGGCATGTTGCCCCCAAGGCTTGGAGCACCAGAATAAGGTCTGGTCTCTCCCTTTCCTGGGGAGACATAATCAATACCCTTCTCTGGGTAGATTAGTGCCGTCTCCCCACACCATCATCTTTTTCCCCCCTTCCTTTTTAGTTGGTTGTCATATGCATCCCTGGTTGGGTCTGACCCCTGCCAGAGTGCCTGGATCTTGACCCAGAAATTATGCATTAGGTAACTTGTGCTTTATGCCCATTGTGCCTTTTAAGCTTGTCTCAGTGGACTCATGCTGTACTTGCCCTTTTGTGCTTGGCTAACTTCGCTTAGCATAATTTCCTCCAGTTCTTCCCATGAGACCATATGCTTCATGCGTTCATCACTGATTTTTAAGGCTGTGTAATAAATACTCCATTGTGTATATATACCAGAACTTTTTAATCCATGTGTCAGTTGATGGAAATTTAGGTTGTTTCCAATTCTTTGCGATTGTGAACTGCTCTGCGACGAACATTGACCCACAGATGGCTGGTCATGGTCGGTTTCTTACTTCTTCTGGGTGTATGCCCAGTAGGGGGATTGCTGGGCCATATGGTAGCTCGGTTTCCATCTGTTTTAGGTATTGCCAAATCAATTTACGTAGTGGCTGCACAAACCTACAGGACCACCAGCAGTGGACAAGAGTTCAGATCACCACACCCCCTCCAATATTTGTTACTTTCTGATTTTTTGAATTGGGCTTTGAGGGTGTTAGGTGGTATCTCATTGTTGCTTTAATGTGCATTTCCTTTATGGCTAATGATCGGGAACATTTTCTCATATGTTTATTGGCCATTCGGGTTTCTGCCTTTGTGAAACTTCTATTTAGGTCTTTTGCCCACCTCCTCAATGGGTTATGTTTTTTTCTTATTGTAGTGTAGCAGTGTATTGTAGATTTTAGTAATAAGCCCTTTGTCTGATGTGTCATTGCTAAAGACGTTTCCCATTCTGTGGACACAATACTTTCTTGGTGAAGTCTTTTGATGTACACAGGTGTTTTATCTTTAGTATATCCCATTTAATTTGTGCTTCCTCTATGTGTCCTTCCCAATTTCCTGTAGCTTATGTATTCCCTGTGCTGATTCTTAGGCTTGTCTCAATTCCCTCATTGATGGCCAATAGTTTGGGGGTTTACCTTGAGATCTGTGATCCACGTTGAATTGATTCTTGTGCATGGAATGAGGTAAGGGTCTTGCTTCATTTTCTGCATAGATATCCATTTTTTCCAGCACCGCTTGTTGAAGAGAGAATCCACTTACCATTTGATGGGGGGGCCTTATCTAAGATCAGATGTCTGTATGCTAATGGTTTTCTGAGTTTTTTATTCTTTTCCATTGGTCTGTGTATCTGTCATTATACCAGTACCATGCTGTTTGGAACACTGTGGCTATATAGTAGGTGTTAAAGTCAGGTAAAGCAAGTCCTCTGACTGTCCTTCTTGAGGAGTTCTCTGCTACTTCTGGGCTTCTTCCCTCTCCATATGAAGTTGGTCGTCAGTTTTTCCAATTATTTGAAGAAAGATGGTGTTTCTTTTTTTTTTCTCCCTCACCTTCCCTCCACCCTCCCCGTTGGTGTTTCTATGGGGATAGTGTTAAACTTACATAGTGCCTTGGGTAGGATTGACATCTTTACTATATTGAGTCTTCCGATCCATGAGCACAGGATATTCTTCCATTTGTGGAGGTAGCTTTTTGGTTTCTTGTAACAGGTTCTATAGTTTTCCTTATACAAATCTTTTGTTTTGGGGGTTAGGTGTATCCCCACATATTTCAATTTGTGCTTGACTACTGTGATCTCTTCTTCCATGATGAAGCTTAAGTTATTGATTTGAGATGCTTATAATTGTATGTGTTTTTAACTTTTTATTATGGAAGATATCATACATAAAAATTAGTAGTAAAACGATCTTTGTCCACGGGAGGGTGGGAGAAAGGTGAGGGAGAAAGGGGGAACAGATTACAAGGATCTACATATAACCTCCTCGCTGGGGGACAGACAGTGAAGAAGTGGATGAAGGAAGACGTCGGAGGGTGTAAGATATGACAAAATAATAATTTCTAAATTATCAAGGGGTCATGGGGGAGGGGGAGCGAGGAAGGAGGGGGAAAATGAGCTGATACCAAAGGCTCAAGTAGAAAGCAAATGTTCTGAAAATGACGATAGAGACAAATGTACAAATGTGCTTGACACAATGGATGTATGTATGGATTGTGATAAGTGTTATACGAGCCCCCAATAAAATGATTAAATAATTTTAAAAGATCTTTGTCCAACTTTAACAAATATTCTTAGGAGAATCATAGCAGCCCGGAAGGAATACAGGTGAAACCTGGCTTGACTATAGCAGTGAAAAATCCCTCAAAATCAATTTTTTAAATGCCTTTCTTTTTCCTTAGGAGTGGTTATGGCTCAGAGCAGGGTGCTTAGACAGTTCCAGATGAAGTATCAAGAGGGATTACAGTGAACCACTAGAAAAATAAATGTTATGAATATATTTGCACGTGGCCTTTTTGGGGAAGTTCCTATCAGTTCTGTTTAGGACAGGATTTATTCTCTAAGTCTTTCCTTTAGTCATGAGACAAAACTTCAAGTAGAATTTAAAACATAAATCATGTTTGGTCCGAACTGTATGGTACATTATCATAATTAGCTCCCCAAAAAAGACCTTGTTGGTACCTCTCTCTGGGTATTGGAGACAACACACACACACACACACACTAGGGTAAGTAAAACAGTATTGCTACTAGGGTTCCAATTAATATGTGCGTTAATTGAGTCTAATCAAGTTATCTGAGAGGCCAAAAAAGTAGTCTTGATAAATCTTCTCGAAGGACACAGACCAATCACAGGGGCTTATTTATGAAGAGGCTTGTTTTGTTTTTAATTAAAAACTGGTGCAAGAGAGGCCACAAAAGTTGTGCCAAGGAACTTTCTTTCCCATCACAACACACCTGCTCATTCTTTAAGGGCCTCGTGGGCTGTCCTAGAGAGAGTCACTGGGAAACTTCCCATCCACCTTCCTCAGAATATTTAACAGAAACGTGATTCCAGTCCCTCACGGGTGTCCAAACTGCCATTCTGACGTGGTCTAAGCGAAAGAACACAGGTTTCTTTGGGAAAAGGTTGGAACAATGGCAGCCCTGCCTTCAGTAGTGACCAGACCTATATGAGGGATGTGTCAAGAAACAATAGCTTCACAATATATTTTTGTTTCATAATTTATAGACTAGTATCCGACATATGGGCTAATATCGGACTTATGGACTTGATCTGGACTGGGTTGGGATGTTTGGTTTACTTAAGATCATTTTATTACAACTCTTATTACAATCCATACATCTATGTGTTAGGCATATTTGTACATATGTTGCCATCATTCTTTTCTAGACAATTATTTTCTATTGAGCCCTTGGTATCAGCTCCTCTTTATTTCCACCTCCATCCCCCTGGGATGTTTTCTTAATATACTCTTTCTTTTACACCTGAGTGTCTATGAATTTGTTTCTCTAGTTAACCCAGACTAACACAGCAACTTACTGGACGAAGGTTAAAGTTTTGGCTTTAATTAAGCACATTCTCCAGTACAAAGCTGCCATGAAAAATATCGACAATTTAACAGTATCAATAGCGTTTCAGATACAAATTTATTTCCAACACAATTGGCAAACATAATTAATTACAAGTTAGAAGTAGTCTGTCCGAGTGCTTTGAAACATGACTATAGCAGTAATTTACAGTTGCTCAATTATAGTTAAAAAAATTAAGTCTGGGTGGGAGGAGGGAGCGGGGAGGGAGGGGAAAAATGAGGACCTAATGCTGGGGGTTTAAGTGGAGAGAAAATGTTTTGGGAATGATGAGGGCAGTGAATGTGCAAATGCGCTTTACACAATTGATGTGTGTATGGATTGTGATGAGTTGTATGAGCCCCTAATAAAATGATTTTAAAAAATAAAATAACCCCTTGCAGAGGGGTCTCGGGGAGGAGATGAGCCAGTCAGGGTGCGATGTAACAATGATGAGAAATACAATCTTCCTCTAGTTCCTAAAGGTTTCCTCCCCGCTCCCACTACCATGACTCGAATTCTATCTTGCAAGACTGGCTAGACCAGAGGAGGTACACTGGTACAGATAGGAACTGAAAATACAGGGAATCCAGGATGGATGAGCCCTATAGGACCAGTGGTGTGAGAGGCAAAACAGGGAGGGTAAAGGGAGAATGGGTAGGAAAGAGGGAACCGATTACATGGAACAGTGTGTGACCTCCTCCCTGGGGGACAGACAACCGAAAAGTGGATGAAGGGAGAAGTCGGACAGGGCAAGATATGACAAAATACCCATTTATAAACTATCAAGGGCCCATGCGGGAGGGGGGAGCGGGGAGGGAGGGGAAAAATGAGGACCTAATGTCGGGGGTTTAAATGGAGAGAAAATGTTTTGAGAAACGATAAACAAATGCGCTTTACACAATTGATGTGTGTATGGATTGGGATAACAGGTGTATGAGCCCCTAATAAAATGTTAAAAAAGAAAAAATAAATAAAATAAAGTCTGGAGTACAGCTGGGACTTCCTACTGTCATCCCAGCCCGTTACAATGCCTTGGTGTCAAGTGCCCTGCTCTAATATAGAGGGCACCATTCAAAGGCGATGTGCATAGTCCCAAGACCACGATCTCCCAAGGAACCAGAGGGACTTTGTGAGACATGAAAAAGCAACAGCATAAAATCTAACCTTTCCAAAGAATTGCCTCCCCACTGCCCCAGCCCTCCCCGGGGCTTTCCTAAGCAGTTTGCTACGAAAGCTCAAGATGAGGAGCCGGGAAAGGGCAGCACTGCTACAGACACCATCACACATTCAGCAGCCACCTTACATTTTGAGACTCCACCTCTGAAAAACAGAAATTCTTTGCATGTGGGAGGGGAAGCTGCATGTTAGAAACGACAGGGGTTCTGGGGGAGCATTACGAAGTCATGCTAACCTGATACATCACGTTCGCACACATTGATCCCCTGAGCCAAGCCCAGCACCACCCTTTAGCAGTGCAGGTGTGCTCCCTGGGGAGAGCCCTCAGTACCAGGGGGTGGCTTACTTGGGAAATAACAAGGGGCAAATCAATTGAATGAGGCAAGGGGAGGAGTGGCTGGACAGCAGGTCCTCTTCAGGCATGACCAGTGACCGTGTCATTCACACCTTTGGGGCACAGCCTACTGGGGCACTCAGAGCACCTGCTGGGGCCACAACCTGTGACCAGAGGTTCCTGGGAGCTGGGGGTGGGGGGGAATTCACAAGCTTGGGGCCCTGTCTCCACGTAGGA